CCAGTGAGCTGTCCTGGGGGATCCAAGCTCCATCATCCGACGGATGTTGGGACACCAACCCGCGAGGGAGTCTCCTGCTGTTGACCGGGCATGCATCGTTTGTATAGAGGTGGCCCCTTTCTTTGCAGACATAGCACCAGGGGTCTTGCGGGTGACCCAGAGGGACGATGTGCTTCTTGCCCTCCGCATAGTAGTGCCACTCTCCTCTGAGGGGGAAGGTGTCGGACGGGGACCAGTCGAGAGCAATGAGCAGGGTGTCATCCCTTTTGGCCAGGAAATGGGGCAGCCCATTAACAAACCCTTTGATGGGGGCAATCTGCTCCACCATCTTGAGTATCTCCCCCTGGATGTGGACCGGGGCGAAGGTGAACTCGACCCAGAAGTTGTTGGCCATAAGTTGCAGTCTCCTCTCGTCGGGTGAAAGCGGTCTTTCGGGTCTCCATTGTTGGATCCTGACTCGTGCCCCTCTAAAAATGGCAGTTTGCAGTCGCATGAGGTTTTTCCTGTCGCTCGGGTTGAGAGTGAGCACTGTGACAGTGGCCGGGCCCGGGGACTCCACCAAGAAGTGATCTGCAGCATCGGCAGCTGACATTTTTTGTGAGCACAGGATTCCGAAGACCCACTTTAGTCTGTCATTGAGCTGGGAGGATAGTGATGCAGATGGAAAAATGAACTGGACCGCATGGAGCTCATAGACTTGGTTTCTAATCGCCAGTGCCTGGGGAGAGATGATGGACAACGGGCACAAGGCATTGTTTCTAACCTGGATTTTGGTTGTAGCTTTTCTGTGGAGCTTTTGGACAAAGTGGAATCTCAGTGGATGCATCGCATCAAGGCCCATGGAAGGGCTTGCATCTGTGGCTTGTGTTGTGAGCAGGGCGGAATTCAAGGAGGTGCCCCCGGGTTGTTCTGGGATGGAACAGTTTATGTTAGGAGCCCGCACGTTCTTAAGGACAGAGGACCAAGATCTGTTTTGAGGGGGCGGGTCTTGCAGAGGACGAGGAGAGGTTTTGCCCTGTGCGACGCCATTGGTGGAAGCTGTCACTTCCTTTGCACCACTGGTCGTTCCGTGTTTATGCGGTTGCGGATGAATGGCCTGCGCGGATTGACGTGGATTCATTTCCCTGAGGTTGACCTATCCCAGATCCGGGTGTTTGTCGACTGCAGCCGCTTGCGGCCGTGAGGAGCGGGGGGGTTGTGCCACCTCCTTCCAGGTTGCAGTGGGCTGGCTGACCAGACGGGACGTCCGGTTGATGAGTGGGTCTTTAGGGAGGGAATCCACATCACCACCCTTGGAGTAGGAGGGGTCAGAGGCAGGCAAGGTCGTCCCCCCGGGTGTCCCCCGTGATTGATCATCTGGGGCAGCAGTCGGTCCCCCCTCAGCCAGTATTTGGGCAGCTGTCTTACCCCTTCCCTATGGCCGGACGGTGGCCTGCAGTGGAGGTGTCGTGTCATCCCGGGCATGTTGCAGGGGGGGGGCGGATCCCACATGGGTCCCAGGTGGAGCCGCATCCGTGTGTCCTGCGCGATGGTCTTTTGTTTCCACAGCCGCGGGCCTCTTAGAGGCCTCACCCCCCTGCCCAGTCGTGGGGCTCATGTCGTCCCTGCGGCGAACACAAAGGTGGGGGGCGCCCAGTTTTTGTTTCGGTGTGTGTTTTTTTACCACCCAAAAAAAAAAAAAAAAAAAAAAAAAAAAAGGTGATGTCGGGCTTATGTGATTAAAATGATCCGCCCGAGCACATGGATCGTTTGTTGTTAGAGCCGAGGGTTATGCTTGCAGGCGAAGGCAGCGTATCCCTGGTCGCCAGCACTTCAGTGATCACGCTGTCCTTGTTGCGTTCGGATGCACGAAGGGATAGTGCGCGGGTGATTGAGAGCGATGCACCCCCGATCACGTATGCAAGACTGTCATCAGTCCAACCCATCAGATCGTTGTGATTGACATCTGGCGCCTTAAATTACTAGAGGGTTATGCAAGACTGTCCTCACCCGAACCTAGCAAACCACCCACTTTCTTCCGCGCAGTGATTGACCGCGATGCATCCCCGATGGCGCATGCAAGACTACGTTCGGCCCAACCTATAAGCCCGACATAGTTTGCCCCACGCAGTGAGCATGTGGCGGTTTAGGGATCCTTCAATGGAGGGGTGTCCTAACTGCGATATGGCAGGGTGCCCTATCTTGTGAAGAGGGCAGCGCAACCCAAGTGAAGGTACCGGCCCGCTGGCAAAGGGAGCCAGCCAAGGCGTCTTTATTTTGAGGGGGGAAGTTCGGGGGGAGGGGGGTGGGAGAAGGGGGGAAGGGGGAGGATGGGGAGGGAGACAGGGGGCACGAAGGGCAGGGGCGAAAGAGAGGGCGAGGGGGTTGAGAACGGGGTCTCGGATGACGGGGTGGAGGAAGAGGGTGACGGGACCAGGATTGTCCGTCACAGTGAGGGTGCAGGAGACTGCGATGGGGTTGAGGACGGGTCGTAGGATAACGGGGAGGGGGAAGGGGGTGACGGGATCCGGATTGCCCGGGGAGGAGGAAGAGGGTGGCGGGATCAAAATTCTCTGTCACAGCAAGGGTGAAGGAGACTGCGACGGGTTTGAGGACCGGGCGCAGGATAAAGGGGAGGGGGCGACGGGATCCGGACTGCCCGTCTCACCATCTTTGTCGTTCCAATGATGCAGGAGAGGATTTTGATCGGCCTGGCGAGGGATGTCTCGTCGATCGCTGGATTTCGTGCCCCGTGGCAGGGAGGCGGATATCAAGACGAGAGGAGGTGAAACAGGCTCGCCCGTCACGTCCTCAGTTCTTCCGGCCGTGACATTAGTCACACAGAATTCCGTTGAGCCCTGGCCTGCGATCGGCTGTCCACGTCGACCGTATGTCCTCACGTGCCCGTCCAGCCAATCGATGCTGAGGCGGGATTCCGATTGGTCGCGGTCATCGATTGGCAGCCCACATCACCCGTGTATCCTTGCCCGTCAGATCAACCCATCAATGTGCAGGCTCTTCACCCCTATCCTTGCACACCAGGACAACCAATCGATGCTTAGGCACGCCACCCCTCCTGACGTAGGGGAGGGGGTGTCAAGCGCCCGGCGATAGCAACCCCGGGTTGTTATCCCCCTCTGTCCCGCCCACAGCCAGCACCGACCACCAAAACCTGCCCCCGCAACCCACGTGGCAGCGCAGTATATCCGCTGCTCCTCCCGCAATCGCGGATAGCAGCAGTGCATGCGCCGTTTCGCGGCAGGTCTCCCGTGTGTGGGTTGGAGCACTTAGACCAGCTATGGCGGCACGGAGGTCAGACGTTGCCGATCCGAGAGCTCTTCCACGCCGTTGTCGTGCTTTGTGCCAGTGCCATGTCATTGTCCACCACTTCACCAGTGCTTGTGTTGTTCTCGTATGCAGGATGTCATTGCAACGCTTGTCACCAACGAACCATCAAGCCCTCGCGCCTCCGCCGTTCTTCTTCTCACAGGCGGGTAGAGTGTGCACGGGGGTTAGAATTCCATACAGCTACGGTGTTGACGCCCTCGAGGGTGCCGAACACCATCGCCGTCGGGTCTAAGGAGTGCGGGCGGGCCACGCCACTCTGGTCCTTAGCGCTAGTCGATTCTCAGTAAGTGGTTGTGGAACGAAAAATGAGGTAAGGGAAAATTCATCACTTTTTCGCCGTAAGGGCACCCTTACAAAGCAAGGGTTTTGTAGTGGTGTTGAAGGAGGCCCTAAGGGACAGATATGGTAACAACGAACAGGGGGGCTGGTCCAAACAACCCTGACTTTTCTGCAAATAATCTGCTTAAGAGGGGTACGAATAAAAGACAATCTAATAGTAGAGAGGCATACGTTCCTAATTCGTTTTTTCGACAAGGAAGTATCGTACGGAATCCTAATAGTGACTCTAATCCTAATCTTAATTCAAAACTTACTTTTAATCACGCGAGCTATCGTCGCTCTTAATTTCGCTTTGCTTTCTTTCTTTGAAAAGCACCGAATACAGTTATACAGTCCAACAAGCCTATCAAGCGGCTCAGTATACAATTTCCTGCAAGAAGTCGGACTCCTTAGAAGTTCAATGAGACTGGTTTTCTGTTTATGAAATTTGGAGCAGAACCTGGTCAGCGTCTCAACAACAAGAACAACCCCAGATACTAACGAGCTCCTGCAACGCCGGAGCAACTCGATCCTTTGTCCAATCCTTATCACTGACGACCCATAGCACCTTTTAAGTACTTTCCAGTTCTCAGACAGCACCTCACCTCCTGTGCAAGTAATCGTCACCGTTTTAGCGCGTCGATTAAAACACTCGTCGAGAATACCAAGAAGACTGTTCGACACAATTCCTCCATCGGATTGAAAGATAACAAAGGACTTCGCGACATTAGTCAATACCCTCCCATCATTCCTTACGTTACAACCCCGACGTTTCCTCTCGCGCTTTCCCAACCTCTGTTTTTTCCTTTCCCGTCTTCTACCATGAGTCGGAACAAAATTCAGAAAAGGATTAAAAGACCGAATAAAAAACTTATCGATCCCCAACAATTGACTGACACAAGTCGCCGCAATCGGTATTGCCACGTAGCTGCCTACCTTCGTACGACGAAGCCATCGGTATAATCGGTGGTTTCTAACAGCACGGTTCAAAGTGCCATTGACGCGGTTGAGGTGTTCATACCATCGATATTTCAGAGGTCGGGAGGTACAACCGACGTATGTGTGCTTGAACCAGGGCGAGACCAATACATAGACCAGTGGACCAGGACAGACTGTGAAATCGTAATTAACTGAGAATAAATAGCGTAGATACGGGATTAGCTTGTCGCACCAAGGTAGCTGTCGAAGAACAATAAGTGAAATGACTACAATCCTAAACACAGCATCGATCTTACCATCCCGTTGTAATCGTCGATTATCACTCGCATCTCTACTAGCCAAAGCTAATTCAAAGAGTTCCCCAACGCTCGGTAACTAGTCCTAGCAGCTGGTCGCAGCGTCATCTTCGTCATTACCATTGTGGTCACTGCAGCCGGCCACATCTTCATAATCCAGAGATGCCTCGATATTGTCGTTAACAGGAGGATTGTTCCGTGTCCCGAAAGCCCGATCCGTGTAAATATCCGCAATATCGGTTGCAGATGCCTTGATTGTCACATAGACTACCTTCTCTTCTCCCCAAAGTTTCTCGATCTCCTTCTTCTTCAGTTTGGACAGTTCGATGTACACTCGCTTCCTCACACACTTCATTCTTCAATTTGACAAACTGTAGATTGGCTTGTGACTTATCACTAGCCTGAGCTTTCTTGGCTGGACTTGCTGCCTTGTTCAAATGTATACGCAAGCTGGCAGGTGGAGATACACTTTTTCGCAGCACTCTCTTCCTCTTGATACTGGTTGGAGTGCACGTGGCAGATCCAATCCTGGTGATCCTGTCCTTGAGTGCCTGTACTTCTCGCTCGGCCATACCTTTGTCATCCCTGAGTTTCCTGTAAGCATCGGCAAGCTTCACATAGTCCCCAGGCGTAGACTCTGTCCTGACGATTCCATGAACTGTCGTAGGCACCGATCCACCAGTCGCCGCCACTCCGAGTATCGGTTTCACGACTTTTACGAGTTCGCCAACTTGCTCCTTAAGGCTGATAACATCCTGTATCAGGTGCTGATTATCCACCTTTAATGAATTAAGCTCTTGCTCGGATTGATTAGGACGACAAGCCTGTCTTTGCATCTCCGCCATTGTCTGTTTTAATCTGATGATCTCCTCATCCTTCTTCTGGATTTCCTGACTGTCATGATTCGCATCCGTCCGCCGATGGATCTCTGCAGTCGTCGCAAGTACTAATCGCTCCCCTTCTCCCACTTTCTTACCTAGAACTTCTTGGCATACAGTCCTCATCTGACTTTCAACCATCTTGCCTATACTGGTCTTAAAGTCCTCTTTGTCTTTAATCTCGGCGAGTCGCTTCTCCTCATCTTCTTTCTTCTTCTTCTCTTCCAGCTCCTTTTTGATAACCGCTTCCCTCTCCCTTCTGAGTCGCTGTCTTTCCTCCATCTCTTCAGACATCCAGCTCCACATCTTTTCTACCTTCTCATTCTTGTCCCTTGGCTCAGAGTACCAGGGCCGCCTATAGTTATTGTAACCACCACTGTAACCGCCATAATAACCACCGTTTCCGCTACCCGTGGCTGGGTCATTACGGACGTCATTCAACGGTGCTTGGTAAGGCACCATAGCTCCTGGAGTGGGCAAAACCGGAGCAAAACCAGAAGTAGAAGCTTGATTCCCATTGGCTTGCCTTGCTTGTTGCTCCATATCTCTCATTCGCGTACGGCAATCACGAACAAAGTGACCAGGCCGTCGGCAGTAATGGCAAACAGGTCGTTCCATTGAAGAAGGTAGAGGTCGAAGGTAGATAATTAAGAGGAGGGGAGGGGAAGTCTACTTAGACGAAGGAGGGGTGATGAGCAAAAAAGTGGTAGTAGTATCGATAGTGGGGTGGTAGGTCGCAGTCACACATCCGTAGTGCTATTGCTACGTTGGTTCATGCGTGGACTAATGTAACAAACATCAGTCATGGCATTCAAACGTAAATTCGAACACACAAAAAAAGCAGTATACAAAAGCACACCACTCATGAAGAGAAAAGGAAAAGAAAAAGAACCGAGCGCAGGTAAAATTAAAGATATACATGAAGCACAGCGATGTCAGGCGAATGGACCCAACACCGTGTTTCTGCCAGTCGCCTATCCGGCGTCATCAGGGGTCGCTGTACCTAGCGCAGGATGAAGAAAGACTAGACCTACAGTAATACTTATACCGAAACAAAGAAAGATCCCGGGACAGGCAGGCGAGGCCCAAGTGCCGAAGGTACAGGAAAAAACCAATCTAAAAATCAGGTACCGACCCCCATCGGGTCATAAAAAACTGAGTCCTAAGCCTACAGCTAAGGAGTTAAATCCTAGCAAAAGAAATACTATTAGAGTTACTGTAAAAAGTGTTACGAAGATCTACAGGTCACCAGTTCAAGCTCCGCAAAGTCAAAAGGAAGTACAGATTCTAAAAAATGCCCGTCTCTCATCTCCTGCTGGAAAGCGGGTCCAGCGTCCCTGAACATTGTGATTTGTTTGTATGAGTGGACATGCAATTGTAATGACTGTTTGTGTGAGCAGACATGCAATTGTAATAACTGCATAGTCAGGCTGCAAAAAAAAAAAAAAAAAAAAAAAAAGGCTGCAAATTGCGGCTGACTTACCATGGGCAGCACTGGCCCATATCCCAGCTAGATAATCTGGCCGGCCGACACCGCAGGACAGATAAGTCCATCCCCTGGCCTGCCTCACTGACCTGGGTTGGCCCATCCCCTCTAGACCAAGGGCAGGGGAACTAAACTCACCAGCAATGGCCGCCAAAGCCCACTTGGACAGCGACCCTATGGGCCTCGATCCTGGCCTTTTGGAGAGAGGCAGCTCCAGCAAAGACTCAGCCGCCATCTACACTGCATGAGGTCTGGTGCCAATCGTGCTTTGGTAACCCTCACCTTTTGTTTTGTTTTTTTTTGCAAACCCTCGTCTCGTCACATTCTAAACCCCCAAAGGCAGCCCTTGTCAATCAAACAATGGCTTTCATGGGTTCAAAAAGGCATCTTTACAGTAGGGAGGACCTCTGGGATACCCAGCCCAGGCAAGACGATGGAAAGTGGCAGAGCAGCTGCCAGCCCGACTAAAATGCCTCCACAACCTGGACATGAGAAACTGCAGCAGCTGCAAGACGCGGTGCCCATTGCCTGGGTACAGGCCCTCTATGATGCCCCACAGTTACACGAAGGGGGCTGGGTCGTCACGGGAGATTCCCTCCCATCCCCATACAGGGTAGACAAGTGCACGGAATATTATTGCCCTAGGACCTGGCAGTCTTGCTACTGGGCCATCTGTCGAAGTTCCCGGCTGCGAAGTCCCCTTTCCAGCTCAATCTGTTCAGGTTTCAGGTACACATGTCAGACTCCGCAAGTTCTCATGACAGCCTGGCCGGCTCGCTGCTCCCGTGAACATAAAGAACATTCCTTTGGATTCCTCCAAGCTAAACAACATGTCATAGACACGCTGAGACATAACATTCACAGTGCATGGATGGACCCACCCAACTCAAGGGCACCCCGAGTTGGGTCCCGAGCACAATGGAGGACCATACAATGAGACAGGAACTCGGGGTGCTCTTTTTTTTTTTTTTTTTTTTTTTTTTATATATATAAAGAAACAGCCCGAGCGGCTACGAGGGGTGCTGATTTGATCAGACACCACTAGCAGTGTCGGGATGGCTCCATATGGCTGGACCCAGACCGGAAATTGGGAGACCTGGATAACACGCAACAACTAAGCTGGAAGGCATGATGACAAACACGACACCATGGCCACGTCGGCCGCTATCGATGTTCCGTCGCCTGGTGCCTGGTCTGCCTAGTATCACCTACAGGCTACTGCCATCCTGCCATCCTGCCGGACCAGCCGCCAGTGCCACCCTCCCCACGTCCCCCCAGCCATCTCCCCCCCAGCCACAGACTCCATCTGCGGCACCC